GGAATGTGCCTCCATCCAGTTGGAAATTAACCTCCACCCACCCAATGAATGGAATCTCTGTGTTGTTCGCTGCCAGCCCAGTCAGGGTTGCCTCTCCCAACAACTCTTCCAGAGGCTGAATGACAGTATCAGGGAGGTGTTGTTGTCGCCAAGCATCATTTACAATGCAAGCTTGTGCCCCTGTGTCCCACAGCGCCTCCATCAGCTGACCATTCAGACGGCAGTTGACCAAGCAGCGCTTTCCAATCAGTTTAATGAGCTGTGATTCATGTTGGGGTGGGAGATACTTTACAGCACAGAGATTGGAATTTACTTCCACCGAGGTTAACTTAAATGCATGGGCGTTTGACATGGCCACTTGAGATGGTTGATTACTTTGTATGCGGTCCCCGGGAAAGATAGATGCAGAGGAATGGGACACTTCTGGGAGGACTACTGATGGCCCCGTCTCAGCAGTCCTTGGTCGTTTCCCGACTGTGAGCTCTGTACTCTGCATCCACGTGAGAAATGGCCTGTTTGTCCACATTTGAAGCAGTGTTGACAGTTTTCACCTACTTGCTCTTCCCTACATTTCTTACAGCCCCGCTGTCGTTCTTCTCTGTACCGGGAGGATGTCTTATTATTTGCTTCCATTACAGCTGTAATCATCTGTCTCATTTCAGCTCTCAGCTCCTCCATGAGCTTTTTAGTGTCTGGAACTTCGTTATTGACCTTCTGACATTCTTTAGATTCCCTTCCTTTCACAGTTCTGATCGCCATAGCCATACCAGGCTCTTTTGCTGACTGCGCAGCCATAGCAGGTGCGTACTCAGATCGTGGGTCGGTATGGAACTCATGTATGCGGGGAGGTTTACCTGCATGGAGCCTTTTCAGTTTCTCTTGTCTTTCGCCTTCCAGCTTAGCAGCCTCATTCACCGCTTCAATCAGCTCCTCATCCGTTGTCCTAATGTTATTGAGTAAGGGCTGTATCTGGAATTTCAGAGAGTCACTCGTAAGTCCGGTTTCAATTGAACGCAGAAATTTACGCTGGATGATATCTCTGCTATAGCGGTCGTCATCACCATCCTCAGCTTTCCACAGCAGCTTCTCTTTCAATTCAATTGCCCTGAAGATGAAGTTCTGAACTGACTCTTTGGGTTCTTGGGATACATTTATGAGCTGGTGATACAGAGCAGTTGTACTGTCAACTTTGTAATGGCCCTTTAAGATTGTGTGTAACGATTGGAGCGCAAGACCACGCTTAATCTCCAACATATCTCTCAATGGTAAGCCTGGGGTGACAGCCCTAACCACTGCCTCTACTATCTCAGTCTCAGAGTGGCCCTTCTCTAATCCCACTTCAATTTGACGAATTAGACTGGGGTATGACAGTTTTTCTTTCTGTCCACTTTCTCCTATCTGTCCCCAGATCTTGAATTCTCTTCTTAGAGTCACTTCGGTCAGTTTCTGAGAAGGTTCAATACTCTTCTCATACCTTGTTTTACTGTTAAAAGGCTTGCGACTGTCTATCCTCCTTTCAGTCTTACAATAACTTCCCTCATCTCGCTGCGAGCGGCTAAGATACTTTTCTTCCAGCCCTCTTACATGAGTTGGTTTCTCTCCCGTCACCTCCACGTCAGTGGTACCAAATCTCACCTCACTCATGAATGCGAGTAAATCTTTGAAGTGCTGAATGACATCACTCTCGCTCTCCTTCTCCTGTATTTCATCCAACATGCTTTCGACTGTCCTAATGAGCAACCGTCTGGGCTTACCTGAGGACACATCACATTTCAGGTAACGACAAACCTCCTGCAGATGATCTTCGTCCAACTGCCAGAGATCGGCGCTCACTTGGTCATGAAGGTGCTCCATGGCTAAGTTCGTCTCTGTACGAAGAGGTAGTCTCTGTCACACTGCTCTACCTCTCCTGGCTGGGCTCGCCAAAATATGTTACACATTTAGAAAGGATCAGACGTCTTTTCTGGTGCAACACATTTAATATTGGTTTTTTTTGCATGCAATCCTGCAAGACAGATTTAACAGTATACAATTAGTCATTCATGGAGCATCTCAATTCGGTGTGTTATCTGCTCGTCTCTGCGTTAACTGCTATATTACGTGCATTCTTAAATCCAGTATGACATTTTCTAATTGCTCATTGTAACATTACCTGTTGCTCACTAACCTAAATTAACATTCACTTGAACATACAGTTTGCAAATGAAACATGTGAACGTACAATCTATCTTGCCCCATATCAAAAAAACAAATAACCCTTGTTAAACTTAATTTGAATCTATACATTTCCCCTTAATTGTCTGTTAAACACTTTTCAAAGTATATACATTCCTTTCCCAGCATGAATTGTTACTCTAAATAACACAATACACTTTAATGTTCTCTTATGTCACATTTCACGACCCTTTTAGACTATTAATGAGCAAATCACTTCGTTTGAGTTTCCCTTAACTCTAATGTCCCCGCTGCATACAATTTGCTCAAAATGGCGGACACCCGCGAACTCCACGTGCGCTACTGAACTCGCGTCACTTTAAGTATTATTTTACCCGTCAGTATCACACAACCGCTGAATAAAATTACTGTGCATACTTTCTTTCCATCTCTATTGTACAATACCAATTATTGTTTCACATACGAGCTTTCATTGCCGTCATTTCTGATCACGCTCTTATCACGGGTAATAAGAATAGTTTTTATGCTCAAAACCTACCGAACACAAATCCTAAATACCCAAACACTAAACATAACTGCTCATGGACCACCCTGACCCACAATAGACACAAGCAATCTTACCTGCAAGACAGATTTAACAGTATACAATTAGTCATTCATGGAGCATCTCAATTCGGTGTGTTATCTGCTCGTCTCTGCGTTAACTGCTATATTACGTGCATTCTTGAGCAGACCTTGAAAAGAGCTCCCCCTAGTGGTTTGGACTAATAGATATACCCAGTATACTTATGAGTACATGTCATTCTTGCAGATATCTATCAATGTCACTAACAGGAGTCAAAGACACACTTCAAGCGCATTCAGAATTTTAGTCTGAATAGATTACTCTGAATATAAAAGTATAATAGTCTCAAATTTTTTGGGGGGGGTCTTCTGTTTCTGTTTTAATTTACACTAGTGCCACATCTGTAGTGCTGCAATAAACACTGCTCATTATTTCCAACCAGGACGAACGAAACAATTGGCTGGGCGACTCTTTTTTTTTTTTAAAGAAAATTTCTACCTACCCCACCTTTAAATATATCGGTGAATTTAGGGATTTATATTTGAACACTCGCAAATCCTTTCATATTTGTGTTGTTAAAAGAGTATGCACGTCAACTTACTTAAAAAAAATACAACACCATCTGTGCACTTTGGGTAGGGGATAGTGGGGCGTAGTTCACTTTTCAAAAAACTTTTGCTGATAATTTACTCACCCCCATGTCATCCAAGATATCCATGTCATTCTTTCTTCAGTTGAAACGAAATTAAGGTTTTTTGACATTCCAGGATTTTCTCCATATAATGGACTTCAATGGGAACCAAACGGTTCAAGGTCCAAAAGAGAGTTTCAGTGCAGCTTCAAAGGGCTTTAAACGACACCAGACGATGAATAAGGGTCTTATCAAGTGAAACGATCGGTCATTTAATAAATAAATAAATAACAAAGTTTAAGTCTTAGCACAAATGCTCGCCTTGCTCTGTTCTGTGATGCGCGTTCGTGACTCTCCCGTTCGAACTCGTTTATCAAAATAAACCAAATCTTTTTTCAAGTCATGACTCGGCGGGTCCTAGATAAGACCCTTACTCATCGTCTGGGTTTTCCCAGGCTACAAAATTACATGTTGAGAATACAGTAGATTTATGTTTTATTGAAAATTTTTAAGTTTGCAGTCACTTATGATGGAGATCAGTTTTTGCTTTAGTTTGGCTCTTGACCCTTGATTTTATATCATTATTTATTATTTTGCTGCTGTAACTTAGTGGTGGGCCAACACTAGCTCACTAGCTCAATTCGTACGAATTCGACGAATGATTAAAAATTGTCTAATTTGTACTAATTCGTACGACCTCACTCGTACGAACCTGTACGATTTGTCTAAACCCACGTAATGGGTAGGTTTATGGGCGGGGTCAGGGGTAGGTCATTCATACAAATTCATACGAATTCGCCAATTCGTAGAATATGTACGTTTTAGCAAAATCGTACTAATTCGTACAAATGAGGTCGTATGAATTGTTACGAATTAGCCACTTTTTAATCATTCGTCAAATTCGTACAACTTGGTCGTGAGGTCGGGTTGGGTGGGCAGATCGAGGCTTCATGGAACACTGAAAAAGTTGAAGCAAATGTGCCGTATTGTGTCGAGCCTTTCAAAACAATCCGATACCCATCTCCACGGTAAGCCCTAGTGGTCAAAACAGTGTAACGTAAAAACCCAGGCACAGTAATTATTAATTGCAATTTATTACTGTTTTGCGCTGTGTGTGTGTGTGTGTCAATGCAATATCAACATAACTGATGTTAAAAAGTCAAGGAAGGGTTAAGACCACAACTAAAGTAAACACTGATCTCAATAATGGTGACATCAAACCAAACATTTTAAATAAAACATCTCAATAAGAACTTCTGTAGACGCATGACAAAAAAAAAGTCATACTGATTAATAATATGTGGAATAATGTGTAATGGCTGGTCAGTTGTAGTTCTTGTGTTTCTGCTAGTCTCTTTTCTTTTCTGTTCTTGTTCCTCTTTCCTTCAGTGATTCTATTTGTTAACAGCAGCTTTCCTAAACTAAAGTTACACCTTTTTTAGAAGGTCCTGCTGGTATATCACAATATACTTACTACAAAAAACTAGACTACACCACTGCAACAATCACTTACATTCACTTTAACAGTGTAAGATGAAAAGACACACCCACAAAGTCTTACAATTCGAACATCAACAACAAAATACCAGGGGTGTATTTTCAGAGGCATGTATTTTGCTGTCTTCACAGGGGTTTACTGCAGTGGGATTTTCTGTCTAATTGGCATGAGCATTTTGGAGACCATCATTGTGAATTATCTGATGGCAAAAGGATCTGAGAGCAGATCAGCAGTGGAAAATACGGATGCTGCTACTGGATGCGATGGTAAGAATCTACACAGCTATCCCAATCGAAGAATTGTATATGAGATGATACTGACAACAATAATTATTGATCCACGGTCATGCTTTGTTTTTCTTCTCATAGATGGTGTGAGAGACCTGCAGAGCCCTCCAGACTCAGTTATAGATCAGAACGAGATGCAGAGATGTTTCTGCTGGACCAGAGTGGCAAGAATCACAGATGTGACCTTCTTGGTTCTTTACATTATCACCATTATTGTGTTTCTGTCTGTGCTTGGGAAGCTTTGGGTTGTAGAATCGTATTAAATACAGTACATGAGATAACACACAACCCAGTCGACACTTTGATCTCACAGTGATCTCTCCATATTATGGCCACAATAAGTGAAGCGACTAAAAAGTAACAGAAAATAGCAGAAAAAAAATATTACCGCTTTTTCAAATTGCTTATATACAATTTCTGAAAATACCACTAAATTTCTTAAAACAGACACAAAACTATAAAACATACACATGACATGCAAAACATCATACATCTCTTGCAAAAGCAAACACAGAATTTAAAACTACACTGTAAAAAATATTGATGGTTTAACTTAAAAAAGTAAGTTACCTGGTTGCCTTAAAATTTTAAGTTCATTGAACTGGAAAAAGTGAATTAATACAATGAAGGAGATTAATTTAACCATCAGAAACTCAAAATTATATGTTATCTGAACTAAATAAATTATTTAAGTTGATTTTACAAAAGAAAAAATGTTGTGATTACTACACTGTAAAAAAATATTGTTGTTTAACTTAAAAAAAGTAAGTAACCTGGGTTGCCTTAAAATTTTAAGTTGATTGAACTGGAAAAAGTGAGTTAATACAATGAAGTAGATTAATTTAACCATCAGAAACTCAAAATAATAAGTTATCTCAACTAAATAAATTATTATAAAGTTGATTTGACAAAAGAAAATATGTTGTGATAACAAATCTTGAAAATATTTTTTACAGTGTATTTTAATTCATCCAAAAATGATGTTTTTGCTCAGTAACTCTACACACAAACATAAAATGATTTGCCACACACACACAGTTGTGAAAAATGTAAAGCTCTCTTGTGTCTTTTGCTTGTTTGGCATGTGGTGGGGTGTACAGGAGTTTGTCACACGTACATATATGTGCACAAATACACTGTGTAGTATGTACACACAATTGATGAATGTTTCAGTTATTAAACTGAAATGAATCAACACTGAAATGACTTGAGCTGAATTTTGACACTATTAGATTGTTGGAGCTGCTTCTCAGAGGATATTTAACTTGTTCCTATTGTGAAGCTGCTGTGAAATCTATTTTGTAGCTATATCTGTATTTGCTTACATACAAACATACATATATGTAAATCAGAGGTTGGTAATCCAGGGGTCAAAAAGTAAAAAAGTCCTGCCATTATGATTATGCACCCGTGACACGGATGTGAAGACGGTATAGACTACTCTCAATTCTCTTGTCTTTTGCTTGTTCGATGTGCAGTTACATGTACATGTATGTGCACAAATACACTGTATATGCACAATTGATACATATACTCTTAGAAAAAAGGGTTCTATATATGTAGCATTGGGTTCTTTACTCAACTCTAACGGACATTTTATGCTAAAAAAGGTTCTATAATGACAAGAAAGAACACTTTTGGCACAAAGGTTCTTTAAAGGCTAGTATTCATTCATATATTACATTATTCTGCAACATTTTGTAGTTGTTATTAAATTATTATAAATATATTACCAATATGTGTATAATCAAGATATATTTACAAAATAAACAGAAATGCAATGGTGAAAAAAATGTATTTGTTTGTTGTTTTGATTTCTAAGTGTTTTTTTTTAAACTGCTTACACACTAAAAGTGGAACTTGAGGCTCACTCAGTAAAACCATTCACAAATTTTCAGACCAAGTCTGCAAAACTGCAAACTGTAATGACTCAGTGGGGCGAGATTGATCCATATGCAACGAGTTTATTAAACAGAAAAGTCAGGGTAAACTACAGGGTAATAATAATAGGAGGCAGACTGAGACGTGAGTCGAACCGGGCAGGAGGTTCAGGAACTTTCAGTATCCTGGGACAGCCTTAGTGCCGAGGTGGGCGGCAGAGAATCAGAATCCGGGACGGGCAGGAGGTCGAGGGGCATGCTGCGGACAATCAGACAAGGTTATTTCAGCTTGGGTCAGAGGAATCAGATAGGCAGAGGAATAGGAGAATTGGTTACTGCTTTTTTTCTTTGCATGATTGTGTTTATGGGGTGCAATATAACATGTATTTGTGGTTTTTCTTTTTTAAAAAGTCTTATTTTTCATAAATTTCAGCTTTTTGTTAGCTGCGTTCACCTCTGTCCTCGAACGAGCGGTTGACTTCCTGATTCTATGAAACCACTCCCTCAGAAACAAGCAGTGGGCTCAGATTGGTTAGTTTGGGCCGGTGTGTTGTGATTGGCTAAACTGTTGCTCACGTTGTACGGAAGGTTAACGCCCATTACCTTTACGGGCGAAACGTGTATGTCATGAGCTCCGGTCCAGATGTAAATAATGGTGTCGAACTGCAGTATCAGTTTGAGGCAGAATCAGACCCAGAAAGCGGCGATGAAGAGAGGCAAGCAGAACCTCACCACACACGGCTCTTAATAAACATTTCTGAATGATAATTTGCCTATATTCTTTTAAACTTTATACACGTTTGTTTTACACTGACTGGCTACTAACGTTACATACACAAACAGCGTTGGCATTGGTTTACGTTCTTGATCAAATCGAAAATAACGTCATAAAGCATATATACATGAAAATACATTTACAAAATTAGTACTTATAAAAAAATTCAGGTCCATATTGTTTGTACGCCTTTGTCGTAGACACAAAATAACATAACTAGTAGCCTAGTGGCTATAAAGCCAGCGCTGGCATTTGATAAAAAATAAAACACAAGGCTACGTCTGAAATTAAACATGCAAATACATTTAAAATGATGAAGTCTTAGCCTACTTACAGGTTGTGGCCCAACAACTGCTGCCTCTGGTTTTAAAGTTGGAAGTGCTTCATGTTTTAGTAACAGTTTCTTGTTGAATCCGGTGTTGAACTTGTGGAGATTCTGGAAGCGGTCTTCGTAAAACGCGCAGCACAGAGAGCTAGATTACATCATCATTTTTAGGAACATAAACAAACATAAACTGTATCCATTGTTGACGAAGTACAGCGTCCTTGGGAAGCTCGAACACAGAAGACCTGACAGCTGGATGATCAAACGTGTGTTACAAACACACATGTTTGTAAACAAACAAACCTTTATTTATTTATTTATTTATTTTTCATGTTTCCTTGGTTGGAACATATTTGTATTTATTTTAGATAATTCATATATATTGCCAAATGACCATGGCAAGTGGAATTTGTTTGTTGATTCAATGTCATTTATAACTTTCATGAATTGATTACAATTGATTTCCCTGAAGCAATGTGGGCTTAAGTGTCTCGCTCAAGGGCAAGATCTTCATTGAATTGCCAAACAACATGACTCCTCGCAGGTCATATTCTATGTAAAGATCCATCACTATAGGGTGGGTGACAGCTGTATTGACAGAGTTTTATTTTATTTTAAAACTATTATTTTTTTATTATTTTTTAGACATTTCTTGGAGTTAAAAAGGTTGTAAACCATGTTTGTCCTTTTGCCTTTGAGCAAAAATATCTGTGGAGAATGTACTGCCTCCATGAGGTACACAGCGTGGCTTTGAAAATAGCAATAATGATAATAATAAAAATAACACCATCAATAAACATAACCAACAACATCTGATCACCTTTTCTCTTTGTTCATCTGACTGTAAAAATTCAATTACAACAGCCGCACAAAATGTTAAGGTAATCATTCCTTAAAAGTCAACTGCCCAACAAAAGCAAACACTGATCACCATAATGGTGACTAAAATATAGATTTTCTCCTTCAGTGATTCTGCTTGTTAACATCAGGTGTCTTCGAAGACTTAGTTATGTCATTAACTTTAACACTCTTGAGTCTGGATCCAAATATACTCCCAGGAGAGTTCATTTAACATTGGAGTTTTTAGTTTTTGGTTTGGACTTTTACTTTCTGACCCCTGGACTTTCCACCTTTGCTCTAGAGCAGGTGGGGCAAGGAAAGGTTGGGTCATTGGGTAGCCAATTCTTTCTTTTGGGAGGGAGCCTATGGTACATAGAAAAAATGCAGAACTGCCGTCCTTTTGACGCAGGGGTTAAGATCCCTTAAAGACATGAAGACCTGCTGTGCCCAAGGGACAGACAGTCCTTGATGCCTCCAGTCCGCTTGTTCAGGTAGGAGGGCCTACACTGCAATCCGAATGGGAGAGCCTCGATGGTAAAAAACATGAACGGTCACACAATGATTCTGTGAGGAAGAGCCCCCACAGTGCCGAACGGAAAGCTCACAATGCAATTCGACCGGGAGGGCTCCCGCTGCGTTTTGAAGGAGAGAGACCCCCAATTTGTAAATGTATAAATAGGAAGTTCACTCTGCAATTAAAACAGGAGAGCATACATTGTAAGATGCAAAATGGTCGAAGCATTTTTATTTATTTGGTGTTCGGGTAGGCCCTTCTGTGCTGCTGTGGTGGCTGCCCCTATGATTAAGGAGTGGAAAGAGAATGTTAGGTTGGGATGTCGGAACTGTTGAGGACCGATTTTTTGTTTGTCGGAAGTTCTTTTGGAACCGATAACTGGAGGCAGGGAGATTTTTATCATCAATAAAAAGAGGGTCGAGAGGTGAGGTAATTTGGGATTTCCCAATTTTCAGTCCAGGGGCTATGGACTGATATGGTTGAATGGGGGTTGTTGGTAAACTGAAAATGAAAATTGAATGACCATTTCAATTGATCGATTTTTGATCTTTTTTGATGTTGAAACCCATGGGGTCATGGTTTATTACTTGAAGGTCAGAGATTGTAGGATGTATGGTATGGAGACAACGTTGATGGATGGACTCAAGCAGTTGGATGTGCTTTCTGGACTGGACACATGACTCAGAAACATACAGTAGAGTGCAGAGGACAATTACCTTGTGAACTTGGATCTTAGTTAGCAGGCACAGTGAGCAGTTCCTCCAGAGACACATTTTTGTAGGTGGCCGAAGGAGCTAGCCTTGTTAAAACCAGACCATTCTCAGTTGTAACTGAGATATGGTCTGGCAAAGCGTCATAGACAAATCATTTCCAGAGGGGCGTCACCACCGGACGTCACGGGTGAACCTAAAACCAATCAGAGCGATGAA